CCATTCCTATCTTTCCGTCTTCTGCCTCTTTTGTACCAAGGAAAATCAGGAGAATATCCTGGCCCGAGAGCTGGGGAACATTCAGAAAATTTATCCTTTGGCCACAATCCCCTTCATTATTGTGGCGGACAGCCCACACGTTACTCCTGTCAGTCATTTTAGAGCTCGAGTGCAGGAGCCTATGACAGGACAGGAGGGGCGGAGTCAAGAAAACTGGGAGTGCCAGGGAGGCAGTTAGAGTGTGACAGAGAGAGAGAGTTAGGGAAAAGATGGTGAAGCATTTAGACAGTTAGAGAGAAGACTGTGAAGTGTTTAGATGAGATGTTGGACAGTTGGTTAGTTAAAGAGATAAAAGGAATTAGAAGTACATTGACAGTCAGAAAATATTGAGATCTTGATTAAAGTAAATGAGTACAAGCAAACTTATAAGTACAGTGGTACCCCGCATGACGACAATAATCTGTCCTGGGAAAATAGCTGTTTAGCGAAATCGTCGTCATGTTTCATACGTTCCAATGGGGAAAATACCCCATTGTCCAGTGAAGATAGGGAAGCCATTTTGCGAGCGCCGATCAGCTGTAAAAATGGCTGCCCTGCGAAGCATGGGTCCAGAAAAGACAGGGCAGCCATTTTGCGGAGCCAGAAAAATCGTCGTTTTGCGAACAAATGGTTTGTGAAGCAATGACCAAATTGTTAAATGAAAATCGCCCATTGGAATGACTTTTGCGAATAGCTATAGCGATCGCAAAAAGTCATCGTCATGCAATTTCATCATTTAGTGGGACCGTCGTTTAGTGAGGTACCACTGTAATCAAATCCACGTTTAATGAGTGAATGATAATAGAACATCCATGGTTTTCCTTCTTTGATTCACTTATTTATCCTTAAGCAAACCTTGTTTTATTTGGCAGCAAGAGTGTGAGACTCATAATTGATATAGTGAGGATAATATCCTCTGGTGGCAGCGAAAAAGGGGTAAAGCACAATTTGTGTCCAAAGGTGAACCTGGGTGAGGGGCAAAACACACAGGGGTCACTGGGGATACACAACAAAAATCAATCACACAGAGACGTTTTCTAGTTTTAAAGGGGCTCCTCTTAAAGCAACCCCCGCACCTCTGTCTCTCTCTCTCTCTTGGATACACAAAATGTGTCTTGTGTCTGAAAAGAAAGCGGTGAGGAGGCTGGACTCCATGATGAGCCTGGACTCTGAGCCGGAGCAGCCAAAGTGAACTTGTCAAAGCTGAGCCACCAAACTGAGAACCATCCCCCTTCTTTAGGAGTAGCAGAAGTGAAAAGACCATTCCATGGAGAATCTCATGGAGGGCAGCTACTGGACAGCACTGGTAGTGGAAATTAATACTGGTAGAAAATAGTTCAAAGGTAATTTTCATCAGGATCTGTCCTTCCAGTGCTCACTGGAAGGACAGATCCTGAAGCTGAGGCTCCAGTACTTTGGCCATCTGATGAGAAGAGAAGACTCCCTGGAAAAGGCCCTGCTGTTGGGAAATTGTGAAGGCAAGAGGAGAAGGGGACGACCGAGGATGAGATGGCTGGACAGTGTCATCAAAGTGACCAACATGAATTTGACCCAACTCCGGGAGGCAGTGGAAGATAGGAGGGCCTGGCGTGCTCTTGTCCATGGGGTCACGAAGGGTGAGACACGACTAAACGACTAAACAACAACAACAATTTTCATCAGTACACTAGAATCCTCATGTCTGCAGGATTAGTATCCCTGGTTTCACTTATGTGCAGTCTGAAAATATTTAAAAAAAACCCTAAAAATACCCGTTTTCACCATGTAGTAAATTTTGTGGCCAGAGAAGTCTGTAACTCGAAAAGTCTGTAAGTCGAGCCATCTGTAAGTCGAGGGTCCACTCCTGTTTTCACCATGTATTTACCAGAACTGACCACTTGAGGGAGCCAGAGACCATACTAAACTTTCTTGTTGTTAAAGTCTAACTAGCATGTTCTCTGACTCCCTCTAGCGGCCAGTTCTGCTAATACAGGGTGAAAATACTTTTTCCTGGCTTTTTTCTTTAACCATGCTATGTATAGGGTTCACTAGTATCCATAGTTTTTAGCATCCGTGGGGAGGGTTTGGAACCAAGCTCCCGCTGATATGGGTTACTACTGTGCTGTGCAAAAGAAAGCAATGGTAAACACTGCCAAATATTTCTTTTCTTCACAATCCTATGATGAGAGAAGTCATCTGAAACAATAGATAGTGCTGAAAGATGAGACTCCCAGATAGGAAGGTACTCAATCAGCTACTGAGGAAAAACAAATAAGGACAAACAGGGCTGTCATTAATGACACAAACAGATTAAAGACAAAAAGGGCATCTAGCAGCTGATGCACACAGAGGTGAAAGGAAATTGTGATGCTGAATGATTGGAAAATTGAACATGAGCGGTTGTGAATCAAGCTAAACTGGAATCCGTAAAGGAAGGAAAAATTTAAGCACTGTAGTACTTGGTATAAGCCAACTAAATTGGAGTGGAATGGGACATTTTCAGTCACAAAGTGTTTTATTTTGGAAATGACAAAATTGGGAGTGGTTCTCATGCCAAGGCAAGATGTAGCACAAGCAGTTAAGGGCTATAAGCACAATGCCTGACAAAGTAACATAAATCAGATCTTGGAAAACCTACCAACAGAAACATCCTTCAAGCCTCCTCCCACCACCGAGGCTGAAGAAGAAATGCAAGCATCTGGGGGGGAAAATTGATCACACACCCACAGCAGGATGTGCTGATAATGACAAGTGACTGGGGTGCAAAAATAGAAAGCAAAGCAGAACCAAACATGGTGGAAAACTTTGCTCTAAGGGACAGAAATGAAGCAAGAGAATGACTTGTTATTACAAATGCATACTTCAGGCAAGCAGACAGAAGACTGTATGCATGGACATCAATAGAGGGCCAATAGAGAAATAAAACAGACCACATACAGTGGGGTCTCGACTTACAAACTTAATCCATATTGGAAGGCAGTTCTCAGGTCGAAAAGTTCTTAAGTCGAATCTGCATTTCCCATAGGAATGCACTGAAAACCATTTAATCCGTATCTGCTCTTTTCATCCATAGAAACTAATGGGAAGCTGCTATTCCGCCTTCTGCCACTAGAGGGGGATATTTTTTTCTTTTTTCCGTTTAACCTAAGATGACTTAGCTTTTAAAAAAAGGGAAAAAAAGAGTTCGTAACTCGAATCTAAGTTCGTAAGTCGAGTCCATATATTCCTATGCGAGCGGTTCATAAGTCGAAACGTTCGTATGTCGAGCCGTTCGTATGTCGAGACCCCACTGTAATTGGAAGTAGTAGATGGAGAAGGTGTATTCCTTCTGCCAAACAAGACCAGGAGCAGATTATGAGCATGAGATTCACTGAGCATGAATTGTTAAGCACAAATAAATAGTTCGTAAGTCGAGTCCATATATTCCTATGCGAGCGGTTCATAAGTCGAAACGTTCGTATGTCGAGCCGTTCGTATGTCGAGACCCCACTGTAATTGGAAGTAGTAGATGGAGAAGGTGTATTCCTTCTGCCAAACAAGACCAGGAGCAGATTATGAGCATGAGATTCACTGAGCATGAATTGTTAAGCACAAATAAATAAAATAAAAATTGAAAAAAATTTATTTATTTATTTATTTATTTATTTATTTATTTGAGATATATACAATTATAATAATATAAAACCAAAACATCGGTTATTAACAAAACATACCAAAAATCATAAATAATAGGTAGATAAGGAAGAGAAAGTTAAATTAAATTAGATTAAATGCTGGCGGGAGGGAAGGCCTGGACATAAAGCCATGTTTTTAGTTGAATTTTAAATGTACCCAGCGTAGGGGCCGCGCGAATCTCAGGAGGGAGATTGTTCCAAAGGCGAGGAGCCACCGCCGAGAAGGCCCGGTTTCGCGTCTTTTCCCTCCGGGCCTCCCTCAGCGTCAGGCTCCTCAGCCTCACCTCCTGGCTCGTGCGGGTCATTGGGTAGATCTTGGTGGGAGAAGGCATTCTGCCAAGTATCGAGGTCCCAAACCGTTTAGGGCCTTATAAGTCAGCATTAGAACTTTTAAGTTGATGCGGAAACGGATGGGCAGCCAGTGCAATCTGGCCAGGATAGGAGAAATGTGATGGTGTTTTCTCCCACCAGTGAGGAGTCTGGCTGCTGCATTCTGCACCATCTGATGTTTCCGTGTCAGCCTCAAAGGCAGCCCCACGTAGAGCGCGTTGCAGTGATCTAATCTTGAGATTACGAGCACGTGCACTAAGGTGGTGAGCACCTCCATGTCGAGATAGGGCCGCAGCCCGGCAATCCGCCAAAGGTGGAAAAAGGCAGAGCGGACAACCGACGCCACCTATGTTTCCATGGTCAGCGCCGGGTCCAGATGTATGCCCAAGCTGCGGACCCCACTCATCGGAGCCTGGGTCACCCCCCCAAACAAGAGGGAGCCGACCAAGTCACCACCCCTGGGGCCCCCCACCCTCAGGACCTCCGTCTTATCCGGGTTCAGCCTCAGCCTGTTCTCCTGCATCCATTTCAGTACAGTCCCCAGGCAGCGCTGAAGGGACAGGACAGCATCACCTGCAGTTGGTGAGGAGATGTAGAGCTGAGTGTCATCAGCGTACTGGTGACACGACACTCCACACCCCCTAATGACCCCAGCTAGTGGTCTCATATAGATGTTAAACAGCATTGGGGAGATAATCCCCACAATCGGGGCTGCACGGGGCCGAGACACGCTCCCCAAGCTGAACTTTCTGGGGACGGTCCTCCAAGAAGGAACGGAGCCAGGCTAATGCCAAGCCACCAATTCTCAACTCGGAGAGCCTCCCCAGGAGGATACCGTGGTCGACGGTATCAAAGGCCGCCGAAATATCGAGGAGGACCAACAGAGATGTTTTGCCCCTGTCAGCCTCCCTCAGGAGGTCATCACACAGGGCGACCAATGCCGTCTCTGTACCGTGACGCGGCCTGAAGCCTGACTGGAACGGATTCAGCGCATCTGTTTCATCCAGGAGTGCCTGAAGCCGGTCTGCCACCACCCTCTCCACACACTAAAGAGAGTCAAACATGGCTACCCTGAGTTTAACAGAACAACACTCTGGTTTAGGCAGCAGCAGCCCAAAAAGGCCCCTTTTGCCCGGCTGACAACAGTTTCCTGCTTGAATACTCTCCAAAGTCAAGCATTTTTGACATGTCCTCCCTCATCTATCGCTTTTGTAATGCTCTAAAAGCTTTGAATTGTATGACATTTCCCACACCCACTACATTTGAAAGATTGTGTGAATTGTCTGATGATTTCTAAGGTATGAATAGCCAGAATCACACTCCCCACCTTTCTCACATTTACATGGGTTTCTTCAGTGTTGGACACTGTGATGACTCAAAATATTTGAATCAAGCCCAACTAATTTCCCAGACTCCTGGTGTTCGTATGGTTTCTATCCCACGTGGACCCTCCGGTGTCTCAAAAGGTGTGACTTCTGAGCAAAACATTTCCCACACTCCTGGCATTTGTAGGGTTTCTCCCCCGTGTGGACTCTCTGGTGACTCAGAAGGTGTGACTTCTGCGCAAAACATTTCCCACACGCCTCACATTTGTACGGCTTTTCTCCTGTATGGACTCTCTCATGGAGCAGAAGGTCTGACTTGTGAAGAAAGCATTTCCCACACTCTTGGCATTTGTACGGTTTATCTCCAGCATGGAGTCTCCGGTGCCTCAGAAGGTGTGAATTTTGAGCAAAACATTTCCTACACTCCTGGCATTTGTAGGGTTTCACTCCTGTGTGGACTGTCTGGTGGCTCAGAAGGTGTGCCTTCTGGGCAAAACATTTCCCACATTCTTGGCATCCGTATGGTTTCTCTCCTGTGTGGATTCTCTGATGTTTTAAAAGGCCTGAACTCTGAATATAACATTTCCCACACTCCTGGCATTCGTATGCTTTCCCTCCAGCATGGACTCTCTGGTGTCTCAGAAGATGTGAACTATGGGCAAAATATTTCCCACATTCTTGGCATCTGGATGATTTATCTCCTGTGTGGACTCTCTGATGCTTTGAAAGGCCTGCACTATAAGCATAACAGTTCCCACACTCCTGACATTTATAAGGTTTCTCTCCTGTGTGGACTCTCTGATGCGTCACAAGAACTGACCTCTGAACAAAACCTTTCCCACATTCCTGGCACCTGTACGGCTTCTCCCCTGTGTGGACTCTCCTATGTGTCACAAGTTTTGAATTGTGAGCAAAATGTTTCCCACAGTCCTGACATCTGTATAGTTTCTTTTCTTTTCGGAATCTTCGAACATTTCGCACCCTCGAATTGTAAGCAAAGCAGTTCCCACACTTCTGGCATTGGTATACATTTTCTTCTTTGTGCACCTTCTGCTGGGTGAGAAGGCATGAATTCTGTGAAAAACATTTCCCACATACTTGGCCCTGGTATGGTTTCTCCCTTATCTGGACTCTCTGCTGGATCACAAGCTGTGAACCAGGACCCAAACGCCTCCCATATTCCTTGCATTTGTAAGGTTTCCATTCAGTGTGGACTCTTTGGTGGTTCACAAGGTGTGACACAGAATTAAATTCTTTCCCAGACACTTCACTTATAGAGCACTTCTTTCCACTGTGGACTCTCTTGTGAAGCCTAAGTGTTATTTTTGTGGGAAAATCTGTCCCGCACACAACGCATTTGTAGGCTTTATCTCGGATCTTTGTTTCTTCCTTTACTTGGGCCTTCTGGTGTCTGGCAAGCTCTAATTTGTCCATAAAACGCTTTCCACGTTTGGCCCATACAGTTCTTTTCCTCCATTTATAGGCTGGGGGAAAAAGACACATTGAAAAAAGATTGAACGGAAGGGAGCAAACAATCCATTTAAAGCCTTTTGCTATTTTAAAAACTGGCAATACAGAATTGTTCCTCAAAGCAAAGCAAAGGAAAGAGAAGAGTGCTTAAGGCCCTCTTTAGGCAGTGTACAATTTAATTATGCAGGTTACACCTCCCACTCCCACCCCAGCAAGCTGGGTACTCCATTTACTCCATTTAGAAAGATGGAGGGCTGAGTCAAATCTTGAGCCAGCTACCCGAGCCCCTTGGGATCGGACCCAGGCCACGAACAGAGTCTTGACTGCAGTGCTGCATTTCAACCACTGCACCTTGAGACTGATTAAAACCCCCATCCTTGGCAGCTAGCCGACTAAATCCCCTTGTTGTCATCATGGAGCTTGTTCATCTCCACAGACCAACTGTCGGTATCAAAATCCCATTCCTAACTAGAACTGTATTTGATTGATTGATTGATTGATTGATTGATTGATTGATTGATTGATTGATTGATTGATTGATTGATTGATTGATTGATTGATTGATTGATTGATGGATTGGATTGGATTGGATTGGATTGGATTGGATTGGATTTGTATCCCGCTCATCTGGTCTATACGTCCACTCTGAGTGGCTAAAAAATAAAGCAAAGCGTGCTGATTATATACCGCCCCATAGTGCTTCAAGCATTCTCTGGGTGGTTTACAAGTTAATTATACAGGCTACACATTGCCCCCCCCCAGCAAGCTGGGTACTCATTTTACCGACCTCGGAAGGATAGAAGGCTGAGTCAACCTTGAGCCGGCTACCTGGGATTGAACCCCAGGTTGTGAGCACAGTTTTGGCTGCAGTCCAGCGGTTTAACTACTGCACCACGAGGCTCTTGTACCTTCCTCAGAATCATCCAAGGGAGAGGAGACAACCTTTAGCACCCCCCAGATGGGGATGACCACCTAGTCCCATCACAATTTGTCCCACTCAAATCTTGCAGATTCCAAATTCTCCAGGCAGAATTCTGGAAGTTCCAGCCCACAGAATCAAATGTGGAGACATCTACCTTCCGCTCACCTAGAGCAGGCTCCACAGGAAGTAGGCCTGGGACAGGAAGGCCTGGAGCCACCAAGACAGACCCTGCTCCAGGTGAGTGGAAGAGAGAGGTCGGAAGGCCTCTGTGCGTGTGCCTCTGTAGGCTAGGGCAGTGCTCTCCAAGCTTGGGTCCCCAGCTTTTCTTGGACTGCAACTCCCAGAAATCCTGGCCAGCACAGCTAGAGGCAAAGGGTTTGGGGAGTTTTAGTCCAAGAACCCCTGGAGACCCAAGGTTTGGAACCACAGGGCTAGAACTCTTCAGAATTCTGTCTAGAATATTCGTAGAGAATTCTGGAGTCCAAAAGAGGCGCAGGCCTGTGAACAACACCTCCCACCAAAACCCAACACTGCCCGAGTTGACTACCCTGATGATCATGGAACTTGAAGGCTACAAGTCCTGCTGCATGCATGGTGCCAGCGCTCCCTCTGCAAAAGCTTGGCTGCTCCCACAACTGGTGTTGAAACTGTAAACAAGAGATGAGCATCAGCCAGGAAAAGAGGAAGGCCTTACCGAGAGAGGAGACGGTTTGCCAGTTCTCCTCCATGACTTCCTGGTGGAGGGCCTTCTGGTCAGGATCCAGCAGTGCCCACTCCTCCTGGGTGAAGAACACGGCCACCTCCTCAAAGGTCACCGGACCCTAAATGAAAAAGGAAACTTTTTTTCCCTCATGGGTTACGTTAACCTATCCTACTCACCAAATTCAAAAAGCTAATTAAAATGTGTCTTCTCTCTTACATGACAAGTGGCATTTACAGGACTCCTACCGGAAGACACAGTTATCAGTGGTTTGTAATTTAGACTGAATATCGGGAAAAACTTCTTAGCTGTTCGAGTAGTACAACAATGGGACCTATTAACTCACAAGGTGGTGAGCACTCCGGATGCTGGAGGCATTCAAGAGAAAATTAATACAACCCTCTGTAAGATCTGCTTTGATTTGGATTCCTGCCTTGAGCAGGGAGTTGGACTCGATCGCCTTAGAGGCCCCTTCCAACTCCATGATTGTATGATTCTAGTAGTCCTCTTGACTACATACACCCTTCAGGATAGAAAAACAACAAAAGTAATCTCAATACTGCAGAGCTGGAACATAGGCCTCTGAATATTACAGTGGTGCCCCGCTAGATGATGACTTCGTAAAATGACAAATCCCCATGACGATGAGTTTTTGCGATCGCCATTGTGCTCCGCAAAACAGTGTTTCCTATGGGTGATTTTCGCTGGACGATGTTTCAGTCCGTGCTTCGCAAGACGGGTTTGTTTTCCGGTACCGATGCTTCGCAAGACAACGCTTTTATCTTCACAAAATGGGTGTTTTCGGGACCGATGCTTCGCAAGACAGCGATTTTAACAGCTGATCGGCGCTTCGCAAAATGGCTTCCCTATGGGCGATCTTCGCAAAATGACGACGATTTTTCCCCCATTGGAACGCATTAAACAGATTTCAATGCATTCCAATGGGGAAACGCTTTTCACAAGACGATGTTTTTGCTAAACAGCGATTTCAATGGGATTAACATTGTCTTGCGGGGCACCACTGTATAGCAAGGAGGAAATGTTGCTCGTGGCCAGTTTCATGTAGGCATCTAGGGAGCCTTTGTAAGAAACAAGAAAATAATAATCTTGGAACCGCAGAGCTGGTAGGGACCCTCTGGATTATTGAGTCCAGCCCCTGTCAAGGAGGCACAGAGGGGGAACCGAACTCTCGACCTCTGGCTCCGAAGCCCAAGACCTAAACCACTGAGCTGCTCAGCAGGATGCTACAGTAGCACAGCTCCTCTTTATTAAAATAAAGCAGGGAGAGAGCTCTATTCAAGAGGAATAGAGACAAGAAAAACCTTTCCGATTCCCCCATGTACATTTTTTAAATCTCAATGTACAGATCTTATACAATTTTTCCAAAGAAAATTTTCCCCTATTTCCAACAGCCCCACAGAAGAGGCACTGCTGTTCCCCAAAGGGAGAAGACCGTGTTTTCCCAGCTTCCTCTACAAGCCTTAACGAGGAGGAGCCTTTCAATAAAAAAGTCTTGGACACCTTGATTCTTTCAATAAAAAAGTCTTGGACACCTTGATCCGTGGGGACGTGGTGGCGCTGCGCGTTAAACCGCAGAAGTCTCTGTGCTGCAAGGTCAGAAGACCAGCCGTCGTAAGATCGAATCCATGCTATGGAGTGAGCTCCCGTCGCTTGTCCCAGCTCCTGCTAACCTAGCAGTTTGAAAGCATGTGAAAAATGCGAGTAGATAAATAGGTACCACCTCGGTGGGAAGGTAACGGCGTTCCGAGTCTAGTCGCGCTGGCCATGTGACTACGGGAACTGTCTACGGACAAACGCTGGCTCTACGGCTTGGAGACGGGGATGAGCACTGCCCCCTAGCGTCGGACATGACTGGACTAAATGTCAAGGGGAACCTTTACCTTTACCTTACCTTGATTCAGAATTAAAATGGTTGAATACACAGCGATTCAAATACACAAGGTGTCTGTTTACCGCCGCCTCCTTACCTCGTCTGGTTCCACTTCATCGCCAGGAAGAAATGAAGGAGTCCTTGGAACTGGCATCCTTCCGGCCCCTGTGGAAGAGACGATAAGGGCATGAAGCCAGTTCCATGAGCTCATCTCAGAATAAGATCCGGAAAATGTTTACTAAATACTATGCCTTTTCAGCAAAACAGGATTTACATCCCAGGTGGAAGACGCAAGATTGCACTGTAACATTGAGGGGTGTCGTGGCTAGGTCCCACTGCTTCCCAAACTGGAGAGAGTGCTCCCAGGTATCTGTGGGTAGGTGTGAAGAAATTCCAAGGTTGGGGGAAGACATAAGGTTGTGAGAGTTACATGACAAGGGAATATTTTTTATGATATAAAGAAATTCATGCAATTTCAATGCTAAACTTTATAACTTGTAGAATGAATGCTTTTGGAATTTAGGCAATACAGGACATTACATTCAGATTTTCTCAGGGCAAAATATATGTAACTGGTAGCAAGTGATAAGATTTCCTCTCTCACCTTGTTGGTAATTCAAAATGATGGTAGATTCTAGTGATGTATTATAGACAGTAGGTGCTGGAATAATGGTTGTTCCTGTTTCCACCTCAAAACGGCTGAAAAATTGATTTAACTGCTCAGCCAAAAAATCACTGCTGCTACACAGACTGTTTTTGTTACTCTGACCAGTGATTTGTCTTAGGCCGTGCCACACTCGGCGAGTGTCAGAACTTTCAAGGTGTTGTTCAATTCTCTGGCTGTACATAGCTTTGGCATCCTTAATGCCCCTTTTCAGTTTAGCTCTAGCCTCTCTGTACTGTAGTTCATCACCAGAATGAAAAGCAGCATTTCTGGCTTTTAATAAAAGGCGCACTTCTCTATTTAGCCAAGGCTTGTTATTAGAAAACACTCGTACTTGTCTGGTAGTAGTAACAACATTGATGCAGCTTTTGATATAAAACAGTACTGTTGAGGCATAAGTATCAACATTGTCCTCCTCAAACAGTGCCCAATCAGTGCTCCTAAAGCAATCTTGAAGTTGCTCAGATGCATCCACTGGCCACACTTGTATTTCTCTAATTGATGGTCTGATTCTTTTAACAAGAGGTCTGTATGATGGAATCAAAAAAAGAGATATATGATCTGACTGTCCCAAGCTAGGCAATGGCTTCGTCTTATATCCATGTATGATGTTACTATATACCTGATCCAAGGTATTTTCCCCTCTAGTGGGACAGTCCACATACTGATAAAAGTTAGGGAGGACGGTCTTTAAATTGGCTTGATTGAAATCACCTGCTACCACCAGCACTCCATCTGGGTAGGCCTGCTGCTGTTTGCTGATAGCAGTTAACAAACAACTCAAAGCTGTGGTTGTGTTAGCATCAGGAGGTATATATACTGCTGTTATTATAATAACATTAAACTCACGAGGCAGGTAAAAGGGGCGGCATTTCACTGCCAAATACTCCAAATCAGGAGAACAGTGAATGTCCAGTATTTTAACATCTGTGATGTTGAAAGGTCTGCCTTGGATTTCGTATTGACATCATTCTATCATTTTTCAGATTATATCCCATTACAGCTTTTTCCACTCTTCTGTTGACTATGAGGGCTACTCCATTTCTTCTACGGGATTCTTGCCCACAATAGTAAATATGATAATTGTCTGAACTTAATTCGCCCATTCCCGTCCATTTTAGTTCACTGACGCCCAGGATGTCAATATTAATTCTTGCCATCTCCTGTTTGACCACCTCCAGCTTCCCAAGGTTCATAGATCTTACATTCCAGGTTCCTATGCAGTATTTTTCTTTGCAGCACCGGACTTTCCTTTCATTTCCAGGCACGTCCACAGCTGAGCATCCTTTTGGCTTTGGCCCAACCACTTCATTAGCTCTGGCGCTACTTGTACTTGTCCTCCGTGCTTCCTCAGTTGCATGTTGGACGCATTCTGACCTGAGGGACTCATCTTCCAATGTCATATCTTTTAGCCTTTTTGTTTCTGTCTATGGAGTTTTCTTAGCAAAGATACTGGAGTGGCTTGCCAATTCCTGCTCCAGGTGGATCGTGTTTAGTCAGAATTCTTCACAATGACCTGTCCATCTTGGGTGTCCCTGCATGGCATAGTCCATAGCTTCTCTGAATAACTCAAGCCCCTTTGCCACGACAAGGCAGCAATCCATGAAGGGTTTTTTTTAACATATAAGGGCATAATAAAAATCATCTGGTCCTTTGCAGTTCTGAAAATTAGGGAAATACAACCTCTGATGAACAACATATGACACCATGTCATGATTTAGGAGAGGAGAAACAAGACGCAAGATGAGGAGTAAGAAGTAATTCCAGGGATGCTTTGAGAAAAATTAAAATGGGGAAAGATTAGAACACCTTAAAGGCTAAGTGTGGTACTTCAACCTGACCCTTTCTGGATCCGTCCAGTTATTCTGACAAGTGGGTCGCAGATCAGAGCAAGCCCTCTTTAGAAGCAAAAATTGACAAAACCTAGGCTGTTGGAGCTTGGGCACATGATGAGAAGATCAAGATGCTCTGGAAAAGACAATCCTGCCGGGAAACATTGAAAGCAGCAGAAGAGAAAGACCAGACACGAGATAGATTGAGTCTCTACAGGAAGCCACAGGTTGAGTTTACAGAAGCTGAACAGGGCTGTTGAAGGCAGGATCTTTCATTCGTGGATTTGCCAAAAGTTGGGAGTGGTGGAACATGTTCCCCAGCCTGTCTTGTGTCCACATATACGGACTGAAGTTTGGTGAAAGAAAATTATACATTTTGAAACATATATTCATCCATTTGTATAAATTTGATACCCAGGTATGCCTGCAACGGGGAGCTTTTTATACACACGCTGGCTTACTAAATAAATTTGAGAAAGGAAGATTCATTTGCAAACATTTCATTCATGATATCAAGGAGCTATTCAGCGGAAATACTTGAATTAATATTAGAAAGGGTGTGAAATCCCCCAAGGCTACACATAAATTCCTTGGTGTGAAATCCCCCAAGGCTACACATAAATGCCTGGCCAGTTGTGTGTAAAACACAAGTCTATACGTCTCTCACATGGAGCTTGTGTGTAAAACACAAGTCTATAAGTCTCTTACACAGGGAGCCTGTATTGGACAGGAGCCCTGTGAAGCCATTCAGAGATTTCCCTGCAAAATCTCTCCATCAATGAAGCCAACAGAGAACACTGTCCCTCCTGGGGTTGTTATGATGGCATTTATATCATTTATTTGTCTGTATGATCTGTATATGTATAGGGAGGGGAGGGGAGGGGGGAAATCTATCCTTTGCCTCAGGCAGCTGAATGTCTTGGGCGACCCCAACCTTCTTGAATGGGGTTCCCCTCCAGCTGGGTTTTTTAACAGCCCAGCAGAGCCCCACACACACCCAAGAGCCCCCCCCATTCCAAGCAAGAAAAATGAAAAACCAATTAAAAACATAACCACCCCCAAACCATCTTGTTTAATGGGGACCCCCCCTTCCTCGCTCTTCCACCCCCCAGATCCCCGGGAAGACTCACCCCTCCCTCGAGGAGACGACTTCGAAAAGGGCGGCCCCCCAAATCCCGAGCCCCTCTTTCCTCCGGAGGGATTAAAACGACAGACAGGAAGTGGCTGTTTCGGAGGGTGGCACTTTGTACTTCTCTAAGGAGGCCCGGCCTTCTCCTCTCTCCTCTAGGAATCTCACCTCTGTGCCTTTAACCCTTCAAATTGAGGACCGAGAGCGATACAGTAGTGGGTAAAGAGCAGGGGGCTCCTAACCTGGGATTCCCCAGAGGTTATTGGACTAAAGCTCCCAGAAGCCTCCACCACTCACTGTGCTGGCCAGGATTTCTGGGGATTGTAGTCCAGGAACATCTGGGGAGCCCAGATTGGGGACCGCTGATATAGGCTAATAGACTAGAATCCTGAAGGTATGGGTTCGAATCCTCACTGAGCAAGGGAAATAATAGGTTGGTGCCAGCTTGGTGGCCCATAACTAAGTAGGGCATGAAGTGAGATCCGGGTCTCTAAAGGTCCCAATATAAGGTCAAGGACACATTGCACTGTGCACACATTGCAAGACCCCTAAAAGTTTGAGGGAAAGGCAGCCCCTCAGCTGTGACCCACTGCTTGAGTCACTGTTCTTTCCAAGGAATTGAAGTGGGGGGGTGGTGGCACTGGACCATCCTTTGCAGGGGCAGGTGGTATCTGTATTAGACAACTAATTTTTAAAATAGATATATTAAATTTAAAAAATACTTGTTTCTTACCCATACAAGCCTTTGTCAGCCTGTACTAATTAATAATCATGTGCTGTCAATTCTGACTTACTGTAACCCTTTTTTGGGTTTTTTTTTCCAAGCCTAGAAGTGGTTTGCCCTTCCTTTCTTGTGCTACCACAAGCCCCTGGGTCTAAATACACAACTTTGGCAGTCCAGTGGCCATGGAAGAAGTCAGCATTTGGGTCACTGGACTTGTGCTCAAAAGCTATCTATGTATCTCACCTATACTCTGCCTTCCTCTATGAAAAGGGCCCCAGGCGGCTTACATCCTTGAAAGATGATCTTTGAAGTTGAAAACAATGAGCATCCAAGGGTGGTTAACAACATGAAAAGATAATATTCAAAGCTAAGGTCAATGAGTAAAGAGGCATCTTACATCATTAAAAGACAACATGAGAGCTAAGAATAATAAGTACAGTGGTGCCTGGCTAGATGATGATAATCCGTTCCACTGAAATAGCTGTTTAGCGAAATCATCGTCTAGCGAAAAGCATTTCCCCATTAGAATGCATTGAAACCTGTTTATTGCGTTCCAATGGGGAAGAATCGTCGTTGTCTAGCAAAGATCGGCCATAGGAAAGCCACTTTGCGAACCACCAATCAGCTGTTTAAATAGCTGTCTTGGGAAGCTTAGGTCCGGAAAACACCGGTTTTGCGAGAGCGGAGGGAGCTGTCAAAATTGTTGTCTAGCGAAAATCGGTTTGCGAAGCAGGGACCAAACATTGTCCAGCGAAATTCCCCCATAGGAATCACTGTTTTGCAAAAAGTAAATGCATAGCGAAAAAACTGTCATGTGGAGTAACTGTCTAGCGAGGCACCACTGTACTGTACATCCATCCATCTGGGGCCATTTTTGGGATTGTGCAGCTTGCCCAGAGTCACACAGGTGGGCTCTGCTCCCAGGAGGGACATTGGGGGAATCGAACCCCCAGCTGCGCTCTCGACTGGAGGGCACAACAACAATATACAAAATTAACAATCAAAGTAGCAAGCGATTACGTTATGTTTAAAGCGTTAAAAAAAGACTGAGTCCTTTTTTTGTTGTTATACAAAACGCAACATATTATATAGAACTTGTAACCCGAGCTTTGAAAATACTTTTAAAAAAGTGACTAGAGCATTTTGGAAGTTGTAGTTTTTTTTTAAAGGAAAGTGTTCCCAAAGTGTGCGGGTCACCCGGCCGTCCCCGCTGCAGGCGGACGCCACAGGAATGCTGAGCAGGCGAAGCGGGGAAGGCGACGAGGAGTCCTGTAACACCCGGAGGCCTCCCGCGTTCCTGAGGGCGTCAGCTATTCTTGGACCGCAAGTCACTTCATGGGATGCTCGAAAGATTATGTCCGCAATTTCAGGCATCTATAAAACACCCAGTGACAATTAAAAGGGTCATTTAGGGGGTTGAAAACTACACCTCCCAGAATCCTTTGAGTCGTGGTGATGGGGGGGGAGAAAGAAAGCTAGGTCAGGCATGCTGTACAAGACAAAGAATCTTGTGTGTTTGCTTCCCCTGGAGGGGCATCCATACACAATAGGAGTCAGGGAAGCACACCGCAAATAAGAGAGACAGTCTGCCAGTTACCTTGGGAAGACTAGAGCAGTTTGTGTGCTGGTCCGAGGGACCATGGGAATAGGAACTTGCCATATCAGGGGAGAGGTTACTTAGATTCATTCTTAGGCTGGTTAAGTTCCTAAGATCTTTCTTTTTTAAATAACCAACCTTCCTTCCTTCCTTTCCTTTCCTTCCTTCCAACAACAGCGCAAATACTTCTAGGAAAAACAGTGTCCTTGTGGGGGAAACACAGCTCAGAATACACTAGGGTTTTGTGAAAATAGAGGGCTTTTTTGGGGGAGGAGGGAGGAAAAGGGAGATAAAAGTTAAAGCCATGGTGCTGTGCCTTAAAAATATTGCAAGGCAAGAGGGGGGGGTTGTTTTTCAGAATTTCCTCTCTTTGGCAAAAAAAGGATCCACTAAGCGTTGGCACAAATTCTGATCCGCTGGGGAAGTTCCTCCGTCCGGGCTTTTCCAAAGTGCTCCAGAAATACCCCAACATATTTAGAGCAAATTCTGCCTGCTGATGCTTAGGGGAATAATAAATGGATAACTGTTGCATGCTGTCAAGTCGTTGCCGACTTAATGGTGAGATTTTTCTGGGGTTTCCTAGGTATTAAGGACTCAGAAGGGGTTTCCTCCTTTCCTTCTTCTGGAACCGTGCAGCTGGCCCAAGGCTACCCAGGCTGGCTTCTTCTCCCGGGTGGCCCAGTGGCAGGAATCGAACTCCCAACTCCATCGCCAGAGACCTCAACCACTCAGCGGTCCAGCCAGCTTCTTGGAATAACGGAAGCATCAAATACGAACCGAGTGTTTTTCGGTGGACGCAGAATAAGAACACAGACCTCTCATGGGAAGATGGAAAGCTGGGCCAGATCAGCCTTGGTACGCTCCAGTGGGGGGTTCTTCTTATGTTTTTAAGGCATGGCCGGCCCTGTGGTTAGGTAGAGGGAGGCGAAGGCCTCGGGCCGTGGGTCTTGAATGCCTCCGAAAGAGCAGCAAAGGTTGAGTTTTGTTTTCCTGTTTCCTGATTGGGGGAGCTCTGTTTTTATCGTCGGGCCAAATCCTACCCGTACATCCGCTAAGAGGACCACCGGATTGCCAAACCTCTACCCGGTCTTCCTCTGAGCCACCAAGGAGAACCCTCTGGGGCCATATTGTCTACACACAGAGGTCTGCATTGTATTGTAGCCCACAAAGGTCTACTGCTTATCACTGGAATTTGTGCCTCTGGTGGGCAGAAGGGTAGACGAAGGAGGCACCCATTCCTGCTGGCCTGTTTCCCTTCCTTCAGGGAGACAGGAAAGCAAACTCAAAGGTTTTTTGGGTTCGTGGGGTGATAGAAGGTGGTGCTAAAGGGGAAAAGGAGGGCTAGGCCTGGTGGCCACACAGGGCTCACAGACTGGGCCATAACTGGCCACGATGGCCTACGGTTTGGGGCACAGGTGGCTATGAGAAAATCCCAGAACCTGAACACAGGACCTGTGGGGCGATCTCCTGCCCACACTGAAAAGTAATCTTGTCACACCCTTTGCTCTTCCTACCTCCTCAGACGGCAACATGATGGCACCGGTTCAGCCTGGCTTGTCACCTCCTTTCCCCGGAAAGCAAGCCAACGCCGCGGATCTTGTGCAGGTACGAGATTTATCTTCAGTGCTTTCATGCGGACAGAATGTATATTATTTCTTACTTCAGAAGACATCCGGTTGATGAATGTGGTATATTGTGCAGGACGTGACCCAATAGGGCTGCACAGTAGGCTGGCCGGTGGGAAAAAGGATGCCGAGTTTGACATGGCCAAGGGTAGCCTGGATGTTGAAGACACTCATGTCAGCAGTCAATATGGTCTACAGGATCCCCTCTTGTACTTACTGCCATTCACAAAGTGAAGCACGCAGGGGGAAAATCCCAGAAGCTGACTCCTTCCCCCTCCCACATCAGTTAAGCCCTTCTCACCCAAAACCTAAAACAATGGTCAGGGCTGGTTTTCAACAAGTGTGAATGGTAATATCATTATTCTGTGTTTTATTCGGGTGTGTGTGTTAGGGGTCTAGCCTGCCGTGCCTCCCAGAACTTGAATTAGTATTTTGGCTCACCCTTGAGTCTTCTTCTCACAACCACCTGAGAAGGTAGGCCAGGCTCAAAGAATGTGACGGGCCCAATGAAACCCAGTGAACAAGTGGGGATTTGAACCCAGATCTCCTGCATCTTAGCCTAATCACAGGACTTCACTGGCTTTAAAATGGCAGCCAGCCAAACCCCCCTTTTTCTTTCACAGCTATTAAAAACATCCTCACAACACAGAGAGCTAATATCGTAGCATTTGTTTTTAAAAACTGCTGGCTATCCTTACTACAGAGGTGGGCAATTAATTTCTATGGGGGGGCACATGAAAAATCTGAACTGTGTTCAGGGGCGGAACCAATTTTACTTAAAAATAAAATGAAACAGTGATGTTATGATTGTTTTTATTTTAAACTTGTTAATCTTCACAAATACTTCAGCGAGGATCCTAGAGGAGTGGGCAGGAGCTTTAAAAATAACTTTACAGTGGTGCCTCGCAAGACGATGTTAATTTGTTCCGTGAAAAATGCTGTCTTGCGAAAACATTGTCTTACGAAACGCGGTTCCCCATTGGAATGCATTGAAATCTACTTAATGCATTCCAATGGGGAAATAGTTGTTTTGTGAAAATCATCCATAGAAAACATCGTCTTGCGAAATGCGGTTCCCCATTGGAATGCATTGAAATCTACTTAATGCGTTCCAATGGGGGAAAATTGTCATCTTGCGAAAATCGTCCCTAGGAAACCATCGTCTCACGAAGTGCAACAGCGATCGCAAAAACTAGTTGTGGATTAATCGTCCCGCGAGGCAATCCTCTTGCGAGGCGCCACTGTATTCTGAAAAGCTTCAAGGCCCCCTTGTACTAATAGTCAACTACCCATTTTCTTGAAAGATGCTCCTGAAATTATTCATCCCTTATTTTCAATTAAGCTATTGATAGGGAAAATATGTCCTGTGACTGGGGATGTCACCCTTCAGGTAACGAGTGATCCCCAGGGTTTGGGATCTGTGTCTTTGCTTTGGGATCTGGAACCAGGTTTTCGGGATACACTAAAGGTTTCTTTGGGTATTGTTACGAAGGCTGGTTGTGGAGCCAGAGGTTGGGAGTTGGATTTCCCACTGTGCCTTCAGGGAGGAAGAGCTGGCCTGTGCCGCCTTGGGCAAGCTCATGATATGCCTAGCAGAGCTTGATAAAGTGGCTTTCTTTGACTGCAGCTCCCACAATTCTCCTAACCAGCCTAGCCATAGATCAGAATCCTCCGATGTCGGAATGAGGTCACAATCTGGTCTGTATCTCTGCAAACTGAGAGGCAGTTAACAGTCAGGCTGAGCCTTCAACTGGTCAGGATGGATCTTCCTGTTAGGTCAAGTTGAGGGTTGAAAGTGGGTTATATGACCCTTTAACAGCTATGGTGTCATCGTGGATTGAGTGTCAGGAGGAATTCAGGAGGCCTTGAGCAAGGAACCTAGAGGAGCGAGCAGGAGCTTAAAAAATAACTTCATTCTGAAAATCTTTAAGCCCCCCTTGTACTAATAGTTAACTATCCATTTTCTTTATCTTCTGATGTCAGAATGAGGTCACAATCTGGTCTGTATCTCTGCAAACTGAGAGGCAGTTAACAGTCAGGCTGAGCCTTCAACTGGTCAGGATGGATCTTCCTGTTAGTGGGTGTCACATATCCCCAGTTCCCCTGTTTGTTCTTCCACACAACCCAGGTTCACTTTCGGGTATGATATTTATTTCTCAACCCTTTTCTGTTGCCACCAGAGGATTTATTCCTCACTCTATTAGATATGACTCTTCAATCAGTGTTATTCAATAAATCAAGGTTTATTTAAGTGTTTATAAGTAAATCATATAAAGTAAATCGTGGATGGTCTTATTTTATTCATTTAATCTGTTGTGCTTTGGTAACATTTATACTTGTCTATATATAATCATGTTAATCAAGGGATTTATTCATTTCATATCTTGTTCTTTATCTCTCTATTCTTCTCTAACATAAGGCTGGTCCTAACTGCCTAAACTGCTTCTCTCTAACTGATGTCCCTAATCGAAGTCCCTGACTCTTAATTCATATCCCTAACTCATCCCTAACTCAAACTCTAACTGAAATCCTCTCTAATTGCTCTTTAACTGTCATCCATTATTCTTATATTTTCTTAGTTCCGCCTCTTCTGTTCACTCATTGGCTCCTGAATCAGGATTCCATGGTGATGGACAGGAGTGGTTACTGACCTGTCCGTCACAGTGGGTTGTTGTTGTTTTTTAAAGTACTGTGTTATTGGCTAACTTCTTCGTGTTTGCAGAGCCCGGTGTCGTTTGAAGATGTGGTTGTGTATTTCACTGGAGAGGAGTGGACCCTCCTGGATGCTGGCCAAAAACTCTTCTACAGAGAGGTCATGCTGGAGAATTACGGGAATGTGGCCACGTTGGGTGAGTAGCCCCATCTCTGGTTCTCTGTGGAGGCCTTTGAAGTAGCTGGCTTCGTCTGATTTATTTTAATTTGTCAGTCATATGTATATCTTGCCTTTTCTTCGGTGAGCTCAGGGTGGCACCCCTTGCTCTTTCCTCTTCCCTGCCTGTTATTGTCACAACGACCCTGTGAGGTAGGTCAGGCTGTCAGGAAGAGAACAGTGGATCTCATGATAAAGGGTCAGCCCTTTGCAGCCGGCCCTCCTAGAACGTGGCCTCAGCAAGAGCGTGGAAAAGTTGCCTTTTTAAAGACTATAACTCGTAGAAGGGTTGACCTGTTATGGCTTGTAGTGCTGCTAGCTAGGGGGATTTGAGGCACTCTCAGTCCAAAAAGGGTCAGATTCCTGGGTTCCCTTGCCATACTGCTCTAACCGTTAAGAAGTTTTTCCTGATATTTAGCTGAAATCTGGCTTCCTGTAACGTAAGCTCCTTATGTGTCCTGCACTCTGGGATATGTAATCGAGAACCTTTCAAGTCTTTGAAAGGTGTATCTGAAAAGTGCTAGATACAGTGGTACCTTGCTTAACAACGATAATCCGTTCCAGGAAAATCGCCCTTAAGCGAAAACATTGTAAAGCGGAAAAAAACCACATTGAAACACATTCAATGCATTCCATTCCCGTTCAGTGCATTCCAATGGGGTAAAAACTCACCGTCCAGCGAAGATCCTCCATACAGCGGCCATTTTCTGTTCCTGTATAGCGAGGAATCCGTCCCTAAACACAGCGGGGAGCCATTTTAATTATGCGGTGGCCATTTTGAAACCGCCAATCAGCTGTTCTAAAAACATTGTTTTGCAAAGAATCGGTTCCCAAAGCAGGGAACTGATCATCGCAAAGTGAAATTCCCCCATTTAGACCATCGTTTTGCGATAACAATTGCAGTTGCAAAAAGATCGTCATTAAGCAGATTCGTCATAATGCGGGGCAATCGTAAAGCGAGGCACCACTGTATTCTAAACACAGGCAAAGTTGGATAACCGGGGAGGGGGGGTGAGAGAGTCAGACTAGTTAGAAAAGGTGGGCCTAAATCTATTTTTAGTCCCATTTAACGTAGGATACATGGGGCTGATTCATCATGATAATCATTTACATAAATCCCATTAATTTCAATAGGTTTGGTCCAGTAAGGACTAAAATTGAATTCATGCAGTTATATTTGATTAGGTACCACAGATATTGGGCGCAGTTCTGCTGCCTGAAGTCTTTTTTTATCAGAAATACTGGAGATAACAAGAAGAAGCCATTCCACATACAAAATCTGTGCTTAATGACTGAATCGTAATTACTTCCCGGAACATCGTGTTTTTAAGACTTCTCACACAGAGCTTGCAAGAATTATTTTTCTCAGATCTTGCTAACAAGATCTTTGATATTGTGGTGGCTTCCAACTTTTCTTTCTCTGGAATCCAAATCAGCTCCCTTCCATGTTTTATTGGTTACTTACATTATTTATCTGCCACCGTTCTCCCCACAGGAGACCCAAAGCGGTTTGCAACAGATAGAACAACAAATTTAAAAGCACTATACAAACATCACATTTCAAGCGTTCTCCCCACAGGAGACCCAAAGCGGTTCGCAACAGATAAAACGACAAATTTAAAAACACTATACAAACATCACATTTCAAAATGTGAGCCTCGTGGCGCAGTGGTTAAAACGCTGTACTGCAGCTAAAACTGTACTCACGACCTGGGGTTCAAATCCCAGGTAGCCGGCTCAAGGTTGACTCAGCCTTCCATCCTTCCAAGGTCAGTAAAATGAGTACCCAGCTTGCTGGGGGGGGGCAATGTGTAGCCTGTATAATTAAAAAAAAAATGTAAACCGCCCGGAGAGTGCTTGTAGCGCTATGGGGCGGTATATAAGTCCAATAAATAAATAAATAAAACACAATTAAACAAGCCTTTGAAAAGTCAAGTATAAAAAGAATTCAAAAACATTTAAAAACCTGTATGTTTAAAAAAACCCAGCATTTCTGAGATCAGTTACAGTGGTGCCTCGCTTGACGACGTTAACTTGTTCTAGCGAAATTGCTGTAGAGCGAAATGGTCGTCAAACGAAATAAAAAAAACCATTGAAACGCATTAAAAACCGGTTAATGCATCCAATGGGCAAAATACCTAATCGTCCAGCGAAGCTCCTCCATAGGGCGGCCATTTTCTGGTGCCTGTAGAGTGAAAAATCAGTCCTAAAAACAGCGGGGGGCCATTTTGGGATAATCCGTTCCAGCAAAATCGCTGTTAAGTGATATCCTCGTGAAGCAAAATAAAAAATCCCATTGAAATGCACCATTTTGTACACCCGACGGCCATTTGGAAACCCGACGATCAGCTGTTGGAAAATCAAAATCAATCGCAAAAACATTGTCGTGAAGCGGATTCATCGTTATACGGGGTAATCGTTAAGCAGGGCACCACTGTACTGCTTAAAAGGCCTGCCTAAAGAGAGAAGGTCTTAAAAGCCAAGAAGCCACCTGTGAGATGATCTGGTTTTGAAACGGAAACTATTGTGGCCTCTTTTATACGTTGACCTCTTTCCTTCTGTAGAGAATGAAATGGCGTCGCTGGTCCAGTCCGGATTGTCTCCCGTCCCTCCAGCAAACCAAAAAGACATCGCGGATGATCTGCAGGTATGAGATCCCTCTGACGGGGAGGAGTCTCGGAGAGCTCATAGATGGAAGTTTGGGTTTTCCTGGAAGGGCAATCCAGAACTTGTTTTATACCCGTGTTACCTTGAAGAACATTATCCAGCCTGCTGTCATCGTCTCTGTTTGTGATCAGGAAGGTCTTTCCCTCCTTGGTATCTCTGGACTACAACTCCTATCAGTCCCAGTAGTCAGACCTTGGGAGAAATTTAATCCTTATCATCATCATGACCATCATCTTAGACCTCCAGAACTGGAAGGGACCCTATGGAGCATCGAGTCAAGGAGGCCCAGTGGGGGAATCAAATCCCTAACCTCTGCCTCCACAACCAGAGACTTCAACCATTGAGCTCTTCAGAAATTTACATTTTAAACTACATGATCCATACCAACAGGTGGATGAGGGGGACTGTAAAAGGTAACGGTAAAGGTTTCCCTCGACATTTAGTCCAGTCGTGTCCGACTCTAGGGGGCGGTGCTCATCCCCGTCTCCAAGCCGTAGAGCCAGCATTTGTCCGTAGACAGTTTCCGTGGTTACGTGGCCCTCACGACTAGACATGGAACGCTGTTACTTTCCCACCGTGGTGGTTCCTATTTATCTACTCGCATTTTTACATGCTTTCGAACAGCTAGGTTGGCAGGAACTGGGACAAGCGACGGGAGCTCACTCCGTCGCATGGATTCGATCTTACGACTGCTGGTCTTTCGACCTCGCAGCACAGAGGCTGCTGCAGTTTAACCCGCAGCGCCACCACGTCCCTTTGAGGGGGACTGTAGTCCACAGAAAAAGTGATTTCCCCACCCTTAGGTACAGCGTAGCACCCCCGGTTCCCACGTCATGTGAATGGGATCCATGTATATGGGAAAACGGCTGTGCTTCATAGCGTAGAACAATGGAAGTGGAAGGAGACCCAAATTCTTCTCTAGACCACCCCCTACTGTTGGAGGGACCCATAGTTACGTATCCCTGGCCGATGGTTGTCCAACATTTACGTCAAAACAGTGAAGCAAAACCCACCACCTTCTGAGGGATTTTCTTCCACCGACTAAAAGCTCTTAGCGGCCAGGAAGTTCCTGCTAACGTTCAGTCAAAATCTCGTTTTTCGTCGTTCAAATCCATGTCCTCTCTAGAGTAGCTGTCACATCATTGGTTCATTTAGCTCACTGCAGGGTTGGAGTGATGCTGGTTTCCTAGGGGTGGGAACAATATTTTTTTGTGGGCAGGGGGACTACAACTCCCAGAATGCCAGAGCCAGCAGGGCCCATGGAATCCTGGGAGGCGTAGTTTTCAAAGACACACAAACACCCCAGTTTCCATCTCTGTACTTCCCAAGCTTTACTGGGAGATGAGTTGAAGCAGGCAAAGGACATGTTCTACCAGCGAGTAACAAGCCCATCCACTTCCAGGTTTGGTTTTGTTTTGTAACTCAAACAATATGCAGCTTAAATACTAGCAAAGGTCTGAACTACTGTATCTGCATAGGCGGGTTCAAATAATATTCTCTGTGGGGCATACTTTCACTTTGCCATTAAAATGCTATTATAATAGCGAATGCCATACATAGAATAGGGGGACGTGGTGGTGCTGCGGGTTAAACCAGAGAAGCCTATGTGCTGCAAGGTCGGAAGACCAGCCGTCGTAAGATCGAATCCACGTGATGGAGGGAGCTCCTGTCGCTTGTCCCAGCTCCTGCTAACCTAGCAGTTCGAAAGCTTGTAGAAAATGCGAGTAGATAAATAGGTACCACCTCAGTGGGAAGGTGTCTAGTCGCACTGGCCACGTGACCACGGAAGATTGTCTTCGGAGAAACGCTGGCTCTATGGTTTGGAAACGGGGATGAGCACCGCCCCCTAGAGTCGAAGACGACTGGACTAAATGTCAAGGTGAATCTTTACCTTACCAATACATAGAATGGTTTCTGGTGCCCTCTCATGGTCAATTCTGGTAGTGACACCATGGAAATATATTTCTCCACCAAAGACTATAAATAGCATGGTCTCGCGTTGCCCTCTAGTGGCCAGTTCTGATAATAGCAACATTAAAATATATATGGTGGTGGTGGTGGTTTTTTAAAAATGTTTTTAATATTTTCAGACCGTGGATAAGTGAATCAGTCAATACTGATCCCACAGATAAAGGGATCCTGATATATAATTTGTTGCGGGTTTCTTTTTTATTTTGTTTTTAACACCGTGAGCTGCCTTATCAGGAGAAAGGTGGCCTATAAATGAGACAAATAAATAAATAAATATTATCCTTACAGAACCCAGTATCTCTTGAAGATGTGGCTGTGTATTTCACCGGAGAAGAATGGTCCCTCCTGGATCCAGACCAAAAAGCCTTGTACACAGAAGTCATGCTTGAGAATTACAAGAACGTGGCGTCGTCAGGTAAGGAACCCCCTTCCTCCCTTTGGGTGACGAGGCAGAAGGGATTGGAAGGCGCTGGGTCCCCTTCTGTTCTTTAAAGGCCTCGAGGGAGGTTGGGTCACCATCCATTATCCACCTTTGTCTCCTTTCATAACTTCTGGCGTGGCATGTGTTCAGGGCAACCCCAAGCTATCTTTCCGCCTGAGGCTCACTAGCAAATCCCCCCCCCAATTACTCAAGTGAAGGCACACAGTAGCCTGGGTTTATGTATAAGATTTATAACATGCTGTTCAGAATCCAGATTGGTATTTATGTCTGTGTAAAGGCAATGCCGGTAACTCATAGCGAGATATGACCCTGGACCTTGATTCCTTCCCTGGCCTCCCCGGTCGAATCCCTTACTCGCCAACTGGCGTGCCTTCATTCCTCTCCATCTCCTTGTCAACTGCTTGACCAGTCTCCGCCTTCCCTGGCCTCCCCGGTCGAATCCCTTTCTCGACAGCTGGCGTGCCTTCGTTCCTCTCCACCTCGTTTTCGGCTGCCTGACCAGTCTCCGGCAAGAGCATGGGCTTTCCTGAGCATGGGCTTCCCTGCCCCGCCTCCTTGGTTGATCACCCACTCGGACAAGGCGATATGACAGGCAAACCTGTGCTCCTGCCAGGAACTGGTTGAACAGTCGAAATCCTCTCATCTTGCAGATCCCGACAGAGAGGAGTGCACTCTGACTGGCGAGGGGGTCATTGGCTGGGGAGGCGGGGGAAGGAAGCATGTGGCCCCTGTCGTGCCGTGCATACAAACTGGCACGAACCGCCGAACTAAAGTTCATGCCCATGTCTACACATAGCTTCAAATTAGTGTATCCCTGATCAAATTTCAGGCAGGGTAGCAGTTGCAGGACTTGGCACACGACCGTGAATTTGATTGGAGACTCATCAATTAGCAGGTGTAACTAAAAAGGTTGGGGACCGCTGTCCTAGAACACTCAGTATAATGTTCTTTTCTGCTGTTGCTTAAGTTTAAGCTACTTACGATAAAACAAACGTCTTACTGCTGGATAGTTCAGTGTTTTAGATCTCTGTCTGCAGAGCCAAAGACTAGGAGTTCATGTTTTAGGTCTCTGGCTGCAGAGCCAAAGACTAGGAGTTTGATCCCTCCACTGGGCCTCCTTGACAGGGGCTGGACTTGATGACCCTTAGGGTTCCCTTCCAGCTCAGCAGTTCCGTTTTAGGTCTCTGGCTGCAGAGCCAAAGACTAGGAGTTTGATCCCTCCACTGGGCCTCCTTGACAGGGGCTGGACTTGATGACCCTTAGGGTTCCCTTCCAGCTCAGCAGTTCCATGATATTCATTCATTCATTCATTCATTCATTCATTCATTCATTCATTCAATACAGACACCATATTACATCACACCTCCTTCTTTCAACCCTCTGATAGGGGGACCAAGAGAGCTCTGTGTAGTTGAAATGGGCTTCATTTCCACAAAATAAACCCCGAGGGAGTTCAAGGAACTGGGCAGTTGTGCGTTCTCCCTGCTCCAGAAGTGGGTGCAAGGGCTCCCAGTGAGGATGACATCAAGGAGATTACCTGCTTCTTTGTTTTTGCCTCTCTCCCACATGGGGTCCCCAGCGTGGAAGTCTGACCTCGTCTCCCAGTCAGAAGAAAAAGAAGATTTGTGGTTCTCTCGCGTTCAGGATGTGGACGGAGCAGAGGCGACTGAGTCAGGTAAAGGGATCTGGGTATGGCAAAGGGTTGAATTAAGTGCCTTTCTTTCTTTTTCTTTCTTTTTAATTTATTCTGCCCCATGAGTGATATCTGAATGATACAACACTCAGGAGAGAATCAAGGTGTGGTTAGTCTATGGAACTCATTGCCACAGGATGTGGTGATGGCATCTGGCCTAGATGCCTTGAAAAGGGGATCGGACAGATTCCTGGAGGAAAAATCCATTGCAGGTTACAAGGCATGATGATGGGGATGCATAATCTCCAGGCTTAAAATGATGCTCCCTCAAAATGCCAGATATAGAAGAGGGGGATCAGGAGACAGTTAAATCTGGTGGTCTCGTGTGCTCCCAGAGGCATCTGGTGGGGGGCCCCTGTGAGATACAGGAAGCTGGGCTAGATGGGCCCTCGGCCTGATCCAGCAGGGCTCTTCTTAGGTTCTTAAGGTAGTACTTTATAGCATGTTTAGTTAAACTGTGGAACTCCCATCCACAAGATGTATTGCTTATGAACTTGGACAGCTTTAAAACACAATTAGATAAATCTGTGGGGGACAAAGCAATAAATAGCGATCACACACAATAACTATATAAAAGGTCCAGAGATTGTAAAAAATTACTTTTTGGAACAACAGCTTCCAGAGTGTTCCTGGCATGTGAAAGATGAGGCTGCTGGGTGCTCTGATTTTAAAAAGTGCTAGGAATGGATCAGGAGGCAAACAAACCCCAGCTGCAGGGCAGCATGTCTTTAGAAAGTACAGTGGTGCCTTGCATTACGACGTTAATTCGTTCCAGCGAAATCACTGTAGAACGAAAACGTAAAACAAAGATAAAAAAGCCATTGAAACGCATTAAAACCTGGTTAATGCGTTCCAATCGGCTAAGAACTCACCATCCAGCGAAGATCCTCCATAGGGGCGGCCATTTTCGGGTGCCTGTGCAGCGAAAAATGGTTTCTAAATACAGTGGGAAGCCATTTTGAGCACCCGGCGGCCATTTTGAAAACCCGACGATCAGCTGTTTTTGATCGTCGGGAAGCGAAAATTGGTTCCCAAAACAGGAAACCGATCATCACGCAGCAAAATTCCCCCATTCAAAACGTTGTTTTGCGATCGCAAAAACCTCGTCGTAATCCGGATTCATCGTTAAACGGAGCGCCCATCTTGCAAGGCACCACTGTAAATCCCATGATCAAAAAGTGCGTATGTGCCTGTGATGTGCCGTCAAGTTGCATCCGACTTCACAGTGACCCTAATAGGGTTTTAAGGGAAGTGACATCTTTACCAGTGCCATCCTACTTTGTTCCCGTGAGTTTCTGTGGCCAGGTGGGGACTCGAACTCAGATCTCCTCGTTCCTTGTCCATCACTTTATCCACTACACTGCACTGATTATTTTTTAAAAAGAAGGAGAAAAAAAAAGACAGATATAGATTCAGCCAAGAGTGACAAACCTGGACGTTACCAGGATCAGGCTAAAATGATAGCCCCTGTAATTCTGCTGTGAGAAATGAACAGGGACCTGCAGAGATTTGTGGCTTCCTCGCTGAATTTTTAAGCTGACTAATATCACTTGGTGTCTTTTCCCCCCCTTGTTTTGATTTATACTGTTAAGGGAATGTGCGTCTGTGACTTT